GAATAAATGTAGTTGGCAATACTAGCAACGTATAGTGCTCGATACACGTGATAATGCAGAGCGTAAATATATATATATATATATATATGTATATATATGTATGTATGTATATATATATATATGTATATATATGCGTGTGTATTATATAATATAATAATAAATCATTCCCATTACTAATTATTTAAGTAGATCTATTCGTAGTATGCCTTAAATCATTGAAAACATTTTCTATTTTTGCCTTATAAGTTGATTTCAATTTTTAGTTAGTTTTGCTTAGGCTTTTGTAACTTATTTTTCAGTTGAATAATAATACAAACGAAAGAACGAACGTCCTAATGCTAAGTTTAATTTAGTTTTAATCAGAAAAATGCATATTTTTTCTGATTATGGTGTGGTATCATTAATAGTGCGATCCGTAAAAATGATGACAAGGAATTACGTCACAAGTTGTGATAAACTTGTTTTCTTGCCATCACCCATTGCTTTCAAGATGTTTGATAATTTAATATAGTAGATATAATGACAGTGTTGCCATGGGGATACCTGTCATGGGAGACGTCGCAACAAATTAGGAGAAGAAAAGAAAGAGATGAGACTTTAATGGAAATGATAATGACAACATTAACATCATAATAATCTATCAAACACATGAGTTTAATGTTGCAAATTTATCAACAGAATAATTAATCTAGAGAGACTGACCTTTACATGACCTAAAGTCCTTTCCAAAATTTGACAAAAAAAACATGTGACATACCTAAAATATAGTCATGATGACATCATATCATGACCATATATAGGCACATCATGACTATAATATGGCTATAATACAGCAGATTTTTGTAAAAGAATATCGATAATCTCTACGGACCTTTACTACTGACTGAATCGATAAAAGATATAAAAGAATCGAATGCACAATTACTAATTATTCAATAATTAATATTCCAAAAGGAAATGTTTGTTGTATATGGTAAAATAAGTATAAAATTGTAATTTAAACATGGCTTATTTAAAAGAATTAATTGAGATCTAAATCGAGACAAAGATTGAAAATTATTTTTCTGATTTACAGACATTTTAATACGATACTTTTCAGATTCATTAGCCTATATAGACCAGTCAGTTGATGGGTCTATGCAAAAATAGTAACGGTATTATTCATTGGTATGTTAATTGGGTAGGAAAATGTTCTCGTTTTAATATTCAAAGAAAACTAATATAGCAATACCTTACATACACAAAAACAAAAATCAAAACAAATATTGAAAATTATTTTTCAGTTTACTGTCACTAGACAGGAATAGCATATCGTTAATTGTATTACCCTTATGTAGGAGCCCTAAGTTGGATTAAATCAGTGGAACGTAATTAAAAAGTTGAGGTAAGAAAACAAAGAAAATTACAGACTTAACACACAAATTTAAAGATTAATTAAACAAACAAACAAACAAACTGGATTGGCAATAATTAGTTTATATCCGGCTTGTGGTATTGTTGTATTTTATGTTCATTTATCCATTGCTTGAGCCGAAGGCCACCGGAACGACGATGAATACAAGTTGTATACCTACGTACAATATTATGTTGCCTGTCAAATATTTTATAGCTTTTTCCAGGCACTGGCTAGCAATAACAGGTAACTAATAACTGACTTATGAAACTTAACCACCAACAACATCATAGAAATGAGCAGGTGATTTGGTGTTGTGCAGACACAATTGACACTACTGACATAAAAATCATATACTGTGTAAAGGAGGGCAGGTTGGGATACCCCTCGGTCTCTTAGAAACAGCACGAAGCAAATTGGTCCTTCCAGCAAAAAACCCCTACCTTTTATGATTTAAATTCCGTATAATTTAAAACCATGACTTTTTTAGGCCTGTTATAAATGGCGCTGTCTGAATTGGACAAACAAAACCTATAGGCATAAACAATAAAATTCAAATATTTAAACTGCTTAGCTTAGGTGTAGACCTATAAAGTACGTTTAATGGTTGAAAATTATAAGAAAGTCTGAGCACATACATTTTCCTAATAATTACAAACATAGGCCTATAACATTCCCATGCTTAGAAGCTGTAATAAGCAGCGTTCGGTGCTTTTTCACCCTTAATTGGCTGGTAATTAACAAACAAAAATGAGTTGATCGGTATTTAAATACAAGTTGGTCATTTTGGGAATGAATAAGTCAATGTTTATTTCACAGACAGACAGAATATATTTTGAAAAGATTTTCGTCCAAGAATCATTACAGATACGCTAGTCACGGAGACTCTGAAGTGACACGTTGGGATGATCTTCAGGGGCCTAACTTCGAATAGATAATATCACGAAGAAATCTTACAAAATCAATTTTAAAGGAAACCGATTTTCATCAACAATGCAAAATCAATATCAGAAAAGCTGATGGAGTACTCAAGGCGCCAATAATCTTCGTTTAGAGAACGATTAAGAAGAAATTTGAAGAATATATTGGGCTATGTAAAATATGAAAGATGATTGTGTACCGAAGTTATTGAAGCGAATAAAACAGGATCGTAACGCATGGCGAGAAGGGGATCAATTCGACACAAAAGCTACTATTCTTCAAAATATGCGGTAATACTGTATCCGTTTCTATCTAGTGAAATATGATAAGTAATATACCTGTCAATGTTCTTTCATACAGAAATTACGAACAATACATAATATGTATTGTTATTTATCTAATTATTATAGCATTGTTGATAACTATATTATAGGCTATCAACAATACTAAATAAGACCACGCTAAGGACGCGAAAGTATTCCATTCTTAGGAATCTACAGCGTGGGACATTTTGCTGTGCTCCAACAGAATGTTCACAATATAGCCTATATCCTGATTAACGATATCCAGATAATTCAATTAACATCGTTTCTTTTTTCTTCACGCAAGTAGTATCAAACGTTATTTGATATAAATTCTTATCATTATATTTCCAGAGCATCCAATTTAAAAATAAAATCATTATTCTCAATGCCATATCTATACTCCTTTCAACAATCGATACCACTAAGGCCAACCTGTATACTTTTCATACGTCATTTCTATGATTTTAAATTTTCCATGTTATTGTGAAATGTACACTGAAAGTGGAAAATAACTCACAATGGATCACAAGCAAATAGAAAATTTAATTAAATTTAATCTATCAATTCTTCCATTTATCCATTCATGTTCCCTGTGTTTTTACAGCTAATACCAAGAATGAATGAAATGGTTAATATTTTTCTGAGAAGTTTCTATTGTGAGTTGCTCAACTATAAGTATAATTGATGGGAAACCGTTATGAATTGGTAACTTCATTCAATGTTTTTGAGTTTGGAGAGGTGTTCTTCCTGCTAATGAAGTCAACACTTAATCATCAGACTATATTTTTAGTTCTATTTTGAAGTACAATGTCATTCAAAAAGAAAAATACTGAATGAATATGAAAATAGCAGTAGTTAAAAGGCCTACATAAGATTTTGATTTACTTGAGCTCTCTTTGTTAAGGAAATTTGAGAAAACATCTATTCGTTTACGTTTACACAAAGCTGATGATTATTATGGTGATAAATATGATGACTGATGAATGATGACCATCATGATAATAGTGATGCTATCAATGATGATGAATGAAGATGATGATGACGATGATGATAATAATGACGATGATGATGGTGATGATGATGATGATGATGATGAATAATGGCAATAGTGAAGCTCATGATGAATGATGATGAATGAGGATGTTGATGATGGTGATGTTGATAATGGTGATGATGATGATGATGATGATGAATGATGATGATGATTATGATGTTAATGATGATGATGATAAGCTAAATTCATTTGTCGATATTTATTTATTTATTTATTTATTTATTGGTGAAACTTTTAAAAATTTTATCCCACTCCCTGCTGTAAAGCGCATAGAGGTACATTATGCGCTATATAAATAACATCCCTGCAATATTCTTCAATCTAAACACATTTTGATATTAAAACATAAAACCATTAGTCAAGGAATATACTGCTGGTGCTAAATACATTGAACATTAAAAGAATTTTTAAATAAAACTTTGGAATAGACATTTATTTAAACTAAAACCATTCGGGAGCCGCACGTCCTTCTGGCGACAGTGGATTTTACGCTTTTGTGACTCCTGAGCCGTCATGCCAAATGAATAAAATAAAATTCACTGTCACATATTCTAACGGTACAACATCAAGCCAATGTTAAATATAGTCACTCATTAGCAACACCTTTAAGAACACATTTAATCTTCATCAGTGAGGTTAATTAAAGCAATTGATTTCTGATTGAATCCATTTGGGGACAATGGCAACAAAAGTGCCTGAAATTCACCTTAAGAAAGCAGGACATGATGAGATGTCAATTACGTCAAAGTCATCACTGTCAATCCAATGTCAATAACTCATCAACAAAAGTTATGTTTTTCTCTCTTCCGAATTATGGCAAAATTTGACACTTAAGCATAGTGCATCGGAAATGCTTAACAATGGCATCTGCCACCTGACTATTCTTAAACGAGGCAATCGTAAGGTAGGCCTAATTATCAAATAAATTGTGGGAAACATACGACGGGAGTTTTTGCCACTCTTTTCAAGAGAACCCTTAAGATCCGCTATGTGACCAAAGCGTCAACAACACTTCACACGTACTTAACACTTCCATTTCCACACCTTGAATAATTCGCTCCCAATTTCCACCGAAGTGCACCAAAATGATACAGACTAATAAATTTAAAATCTAGTGATTATATTAATAACAATTTTTACATTTTTAAAGTTTTTATCTTGGACCGGTACCTAATCTTTAAAAAATCAATAGGCCTCTCAATTAAAAAAATTAGATTTTGGATGTGTTTGGCTATTGACATGTCTGGTTGCGTCGTGGTCGCATTAATCACAGACGCAGAGCCGGTCAAAACAAAATTCATCGCTACTATAATAAACGACATGAATGGAGAGTCAATAAGTTCGGCTCGTGTACATCATACCATCTTCGTTTGCTTAGGCTTTCATTTACGAATTGATCATTGTTCGATGAACACAAGAGAGTAGGGGTGAACACTCGATAAGGCCTTAAGTCCATAGATTACCCACTCAAAATTATTAGCCTTTCAAAATGCTCCCTTCGATTTCAAATAACGACTTGAATGAAAAAAGAAAAACATGATACGTACCGTACATTCGCAAATAATAATATTCAATTGAAATACAGTACAAATCTGTCTTTCTTAGACAAATGTTTGATCCTAAATTAAAATTTGCTCATGTCGACAATGTGTAACGGAAGTGATATTATTACCTCGGCACCGCAAAAATTGACTCACCTGAGACTTCAAAACGATATTACCACTGCAACCACCTTGGTGCCGAAGATCATTAAACATGTTGGCCACCTTAATTTGAACTTTTACCATATCCTGAACGAATCAACTACAGATAACTTGTAGTGAATTGTAATTGTGTCGGGGATCAATCGTCATTGTGGTACTTACCTGATTGTGGCTAGCAAGATTGACTGTATCGCAATGTTTTCCCTCGATATTTCTTCCTTTCACTCCACTTTCAAGGATCTGTGATAGTTCAAATGGCCCTGGATACTATTGACTCGGTTAGGCCGTGATGAGTATATAAATGACAGCACAGTGGGGCGGTTACTTACGCAGAAGTGCTTTTTGTATTGACGCTTCGACTCTCGATCTGTTAGTTCTGGAGTCAGTGCCAAGTTCGTCGGGTCCCCTTGCCAAGAATTTACTACACAACCAAGTCGTTGTCCAATCAGAGCGAGCGTTTTTCTTTGCCATTTTGCTTTCCCTTGTGGATGAGGATGGTGAATGAAAGTGGAGTAAATACTTTAACTTGATCAATCATGAAGATGACGTAACTCGAGTAATTATTTCTGGCAATCATGACTCAATTGTACACATTTTGTAGTGTCGTAATAAGTTACACGACGAGATAATAAACTGCTTGCGAACGTCAGCATTCACAAGTCATTGAACCCATTTATCATTTTGAAATTTCACAGAAATTATATTTTGTATTTGTGATGTACACAACCACATTAATAATAACAATAACTGATTATATAAATGATATGAATAATAATAATATTTATAATAATAATTTATAATAATACTAATTGTAATAGGAATAACAATAAATTATTGTTATTATCGTTATTAGTATTATTATTATTATTATTATTATTATTATTATTATTATTATTATTATTATTATTATTATTATTAATACTACTACTACTAAAACTATTCTATTGCCAAAAATACTGTAGGCATAATTCACAGTGGCTCTCGAAAAAAGCTCACATCCAAAACATAGGGTACTGTACTTATACACTATGGATAGACCTAACCTTTGGCATAGGAAATGTTCTCTTTCATGGTAATGCAGTTGTCAGCGTCAAATAAGACCACGAAAAACACTACTTAATGCCCTATTTTGGATTTGCTTCCTTACTGCAAATGTGCCTAATTTTTTATATTGTTGTGACTTAACTTTTTAATTTCGTTTATGTGAATGCTTCATTTTTATACTATTTTATTTAAATCCATGGTCAACAATATATATATATATATATATATATATATATACACATCTAGATGTGTATAAATATATATATATATATACACTATATACCGGTATATATATATATATATATATATACATATATATATATATATGTATATATACTACAAAAACACAAATAATCATTTACTTAAGTATTACTCAAGTAAAGACATTATAAATGTTTGTTTAATTGTAGAGGAAAACAAGGCTCAGGCCACTGATCATCTTAGATCAGTAGACTCCAAGCTTTTTAATTACGTTTTCATTTCAGTAATACTGGTTCCATGGAACCATTATAGTGTCTAAAAATACAGGTTTACACGGCTTAGAATGCCTTTCATTTACTGGCCATCTCCCTGAGCGTGTCAGGCATCAGGCCCACCATGAAATGTAACCGCAACAATTTCATATTCGTTTAAAATATTTCTTATTGAAAACCAAACTAATTGGTATTCACCAACTCTTGGCGTTTAGCCAATCTACAGAAGAACACCATCAACGAATTCAACACATTAAAACGTCATTTCTCTGCAAATGTGTACGAAAGTCCAAGATTGATGAAATACTGGTTTCAGCTTTTTTTTTCCTCCCGGGTAAATAGCCTCAAGAAAAAAACATGTTTCGGTCAATAGAACGTGCAAACACGATCGGTGATACCATGTTGGTAACAAATACAATAATGTATATGCTTCATACACGCGGGTATGGTGTAGGCCTACTGTCGAAACATTACTTTCTTTCATATTATTAATGAAAGGGTGTTGAGCACTCTGAAAAGAAAACGCAGAGCGTCGGTTTTGAATTTAATTTTACTTTTAGTCCTTCTACTATGAACATCTTTAAATCGATCACAGCTAATATAGAGGCAATAGAAAGAATAAGAA